TGTGTGTGTGTGTGTGTCTGTGACGTCCTTTCATTGAGAAGTCATTACCACAGCACAGAGAAGGAAGTGATATCATAAAAGCAGACAGTTTGACAGATCGCCTGTCAGACTGCACAGGTAGGACTCCTTAAAGTTTGTGTCCACATCCCCTCGTTGACAAAAGACACGGGCTGAGTGCAGACGTCTTCTCTCTGCCATGACGTGTGTGTCTGCTTCACTGCCTGGTTTATATACAACACTGACAGAGCCTCGCTCACTACCACTGGCCGGAGAAAATTATCATACAGCCGCTGATTGGCCGGGGTTTTGACAGTGATAAATTGGCCAGCCTCTGATTGGATAATTAAGCTGTGATGCCAGTGAATGTGGGTTGGGCAAAAACAGGGAGAGAGACACCAAAGAGGAGAGAGAGAGAGAGCAAGAGAGAGAGAGAGAGAGAGAGAGAGAGAGAGAGAGAGAGGTATAGAGTGTGTATGTAAGAGAGAGAGTGGGCGGGGTAAAGAGCATGAGAGAGAGAGAGAGAGAGAGAGAGAGAGAGAGAGAGAGAGAGAGAGAGAGAGAGAATAGGAATATTGAGGGGAGAGAGACAAAGAGTGTGACTGGAAGAGAGTTAGTGGGTGGGATAAAATTGAGGAGAGAGAGAGAGAGACATAGAGTGTGAGTATGATAGAGATAGTGGGTGGGATAAATTTGAGGGGAGAGGGAGAGGGAGAGAGAGAGAGAGGAGGTGTGTAACTATAGGCAAAGCTTTGTTTGAGTGTGTGTGTGTGTGTGTGTGTGTGTGTGTGTGTGTGTGTGTGTGTGTGTGTGTGTGTGTGTGTCTATCTATCTAAGAACCTGAATTGGATGAGCTCTCTCCTCAGTCGCTACACTGACGTGACATTTCAACTTTCCATGTGGCCTGTGTGACTAAATGTCCAGGTGATGTTTGAGCGGTGTGTCTGTTAGGCTTGTCTCTGCACAGCCAAGTGTTCAGCCTGCAAACCATCACCTTTAATCTGATGTGGAAATGTAATTATGGGTTTTTTCTACAGCAGGCTCCAGCTGGAAGCCTGGCTGTAAAAACTAATTAGCACCAAGAAACGCCAAGCCTCTGACACCATAAGGAGTCAAGAGTCACTGCCAACAACAGCCAGACACCGCGGCCGCCAGAAGCCTCCAGGGATCTCCAGAGAGACTGAGAAAAAATCTGAAGACCCCTAGGGACCCCCAGAAGGAGCCACTGAAAGTAGTAGTTTGACATTTTGGTTAATGTTCATGTTCTTGTTAAGAGTTAAATCAGATGAGGTGATAACATTCTCATGTTTATGCATTTAATGTAGCTGGTTCTAGCAGATGATTAGCTTCAATCAGGCTACAACCTCATGTAACTCTGCAGCAATCTGATCGTGTATCTCACAAAAGGTTTTCTTCTCTTCTTTCTCTTCTAAAAACTTCAGCTAAGAAATACTGAAACTTCACAATCCAATATTTCACTTCAGAAATCACATTAAAGATCAGGAACGTATGTCCAAGAAACCTTTAAACATTCAGGGACCAACAGAAACTTTTTGTAGCATCCGGAATTTTTGAGAAACCTGTGACAAAACCTCCATAAACCTTTGATAAACCTCTGGTTATCTACAGAACTGAACCTTCATATACCTATAATAAAGCATATGGGTATTTTGAGAACTGCCACTGGAGGACCTTTGAATACCTTCAACTCCAGTGACTCTCAGTAGGGTTTGATAGATCTAGAAACCTTGAGAAGTCTCCAACAGTCCACAGATCCTTGTCTAAGAAGTAGAAAACTTAATTCAGGTCTGGAAACCTTTGAAAACCTCCACAGAGTGTTGGAGAGCTCCACACCATACTGTATGACAACTTTATAGATGGGCTGGTTTTGCACTGGTTTACAATGTCAGACCAGATCTGTCTGGTTTATTCAGCATTACAGCCCCAAAGAGGTTATATCACCACCACAAGAAATTAAATCGTGATCCAAACAGACTTGCAGCAATCCAGAACTGTCGGTGTGCCCAAGTGGCCAAGGTGGGCCTCATGGACAAACTCAATCAATCCTCCCTCAGCACTGAAAAGAGAAACACAACACATGGCCTTTATGCTGCTCAGCCGCATGGCTCCTTCTCAAATAAATAGACACTAAATAAATATAACCAAAGTCTTGGCTGCAGCAAAGTGAGGGGCCTCACGTCACCATCTGGCCAAAGATCATCTGTACAAGATGAATCACTCAATATTAAAAAGCCATTTTACCTTCCCATGAAGCACACACACACATCCCTCTCCAGCCTCGCACAGCTACACACCACACTTATGACGACTTTTAGATTTATTTCAGGGTTAAAGATGTTAAATTTTGTATCCCTTAAACCTGAACCTCCATCTGAGGCCCAGATCTAAGTGTAATTTGAACTATAAAATGTACCAGGCTTAGAAAATACTCATAACCACTTGATCTGCTGCACTTTGTGGGACATTTTCAACCCATGAGACAGCAAAAAATGGGTTGCACACAACGAATGCTCACTCACAGGTTATAAATGATGCCCCTGTGCTTAAGAAAACAAACTGGTTCCACACAGGGTCTCATGCTCTGATTGGAGAAACACAAAACCAGCCAGCAGAAAAAACACGCGGCCACAATTAGCAACAGAAAAACCATTTATCCCAGTGTGAAGGTAAACATGTAGAGACAAGTTAATGAAAATAGAGGGAAAGCAGAGGTGGGGTGAAAAAGCCAGAAAGCAGGGGAGTGCTTTGGATTAACTCTGTGACTTTTATATTCTTTCACTACGACAGTAAACTG